TGCAGACATTGGTGTAGGCAAAGACTTTATGAACAAAACCTTGATCACAGAGGACCTATAACAAAGAATTAGCAGCTGGAATGTAATCTTATTAGAAAGATTTTTACATCAAGAGAAACCTCTAACAGAGTTAAAAGAATAACACACATGTGGGAAAAATAATTTAGTCAGCTGTTCCTCAGACAAAGGAATAATATCTAGGATATATAAAGAACTCAAAAAATCAGACCCTCCCCCAATTTAAAGACCTAATCCAAAAATAGGCATCCAAAATAAATATACTCTTCTCAGATGAAGAAGTAGAAATAGCAAATAGATATATGAAAAGATGTTCAACACAATTGGTCATTTGAGAAATGCAAATTATAATAATGCTGAGATTCTATCCCACCCCAGAAAGAATGGTTATTATCAAGAAATCAACCAATTACAAATGTTATATTGACTATGCAGAAAAAGGAACATTTCTCTACTGTACATCTGGGTGTAGATTGGTGCAACCATTGTGGAAATCAGTGTGGATATTCTCCAAAGAACTAGGAAAAGAGTTTCCATTTGACTCAGCTATTCCCCTTCTTAATATCTTCTGGAAAGAATTAAGTCCATACTACAGTGATACATGTATACCCATGTTTATAGCAGCACTGTTTTTAACAGCTAAATCTTGGAAACAGCCCAAATGCCCTTCAATAGATGAATGGATAAACAAGATGTGGGTTTTTTTTAATACAATCTAGTACTACTCTTTTATAAAGAAGGATAATCTTGAGACATTTCTAAGTGAATCAATGTAACTATAATCTTAATTGAAATGAGTTTGGTATATATGTATAAATACTGAATTTCTTCTCTGGTATGAGAAAGCAAAAGTGTAAATAAGGACTAAAATATATAATAGATATTGTAAAATAGGAAGAATATGTTGAACTGGGAAGGGAAACTAAGGTAGGGAAAAGAAAAAAGTGATAAAAGGAAAAATCAAAACAAAGCTTTTGTAAATAAAAAAATCAAAACAAATAAACAAAGCTTAAATATCACATTGTTTTTCTGGTATGAGAAACTGAACGGATAAATAATAATCAAAATGTATGATAGACATTAAGAAATACACAATGTTCAAATGGGAACAGAAACGAAGGAGGTGGAAGAAATGAAGGATGGGAAAAGAAAGCAGAGTAAAAGGAAAAAGTACAAACAAAGCTTTTATAAATAAATAGAGGAAGAGTGATTGAGAGGAGTGGAAGAAAAGGAGAAAAAAATAAGAATGATCTGTCATGTATAGGTATTCTGTATGGTGAATGTGATCATTATGTGTATCTAAAATGTGCCAGTATATTTAATTAAAAATAAGTATGGCTTCACTCTGGAAAGATACTGGCAGTTAATAATCTACTCACCTGTGACTTCATCCCTTGCCTTTACACCTACAACACAGAGGGAGTGGGCCAAGGATAAATCATAATTAAACCTAGGCAGCATCTGGAAGCATTACATCTTCCATTATATTCAGCCAGTGAGGAGCCAGGGGAAGGCATCTGGGTTGTAGGGGATACACTGTTCACTGTAACTGCGTTGGCCATGACTTCCTGCCTGGTATGCTGGCCCTCACTCTTTCACGATGGTGAAATGAAGCTTTTGCTGCACTCTTGGTACTCAGTCTGATCTGTCCGTTGCCCATCATCAAAGGTGAAGGAGCTTGATCTTTACACTTTCAGACCATCATAATTTTAAGATGTTGGAAAGATGTTAAAATAAAAATCAAATAGTAAAATTCCAAAAATACATTTGCTCTCATTTTTCCCTGTGCTAGATTCTACACAGGCTATTAAATGTATTTTTTTTTCTCTTTATGTGTTGTATGATTCTGGAAAATGGAGCAGTAGAAAAATTACAAAGAAGATATGAGTTACTATTCTACTGAAGATTATGAAATGATAATGGTGTGATCTATATGGCATTAATATTGTTGCCTGAAGTTTCTTCTTTATCCTCTTAATCTGAGCCAATGGTGGTGGTGTTAAACCTATTGCCTGTATGCTCCAGTGGGCTGTTGGAACAATTAAGAGCTCTAGAAGTTTGCCATTACTGCTCTATAGTTTTCATCTTATGCAGACAAAATGAGTGGTGCTAAGATATTCGTAGCACTATTCTGTTTTCTCCAGATCTCCTGAGGCCAGAGCAACACAAGCATTCTCCTCTGGTAAAGATCTTTGCATCTTTTTACACCTTTTCTTCCATCTTTCACATCTGCATTGTTCTAGTTGTTAGTGAACACATCTGCCTTAATTTCTGAATGTTTTCTACCATCCCCTTTCTAGCAGTGAGGCAGGGTTTCTCTATAGCCTGAGTATGTTTGTCCGGTTAAGGAATACAAAATCTTCCAAACTTAAACAGATTTTTAAAATGTTTCTTCCCAACTTTCAGTAGTTTATTCTTCATTTCACTATAAGAGGCAACACAGAAACACAAATGCCCACATGTATTTCCTAGATATAGTAATGGCTGTTTCAGCTGATTGAATTTGGAGTCTGCATGGAAAGGCAGAGAGCCAACCTAGTTCTTGTACACTGTCCTGTTCTTGTCAGTCTGAATCAAAAGATGCTAGAGGTCAATGAAATGAATTTAGTACCTACTTACTGCATTTATTAATCATAATGTTTTATTAAGTCCTTTGCTCAAGGAAACATTTGCTAAAAGTGAACTCTGAAGAAATGAGTTGTAGACATTTCTCAAAGACAATTCTCTGTGTTTCCTGTGTTTTAGTGAGGTAGAGTAAAGATAAGTAATAATAAAGTAAAAAGCAAAAGAAAAAGTCTTAATTTTAAAATTGAACTTCTATTATTTAGTTCATTGAAAAAAATATATTAAAACTTGGTGGCTTGAGGACACAAACTCACTTAAAATAATTCTGAACTTTCTTAAGAACACAATAACTCTGAGCCTGTGCTTTTGATCTGTCAGTAGGCCATTTATTTCTTCTGTAAAAAGGTCTTTGAAAGTCATGCAGGAGAAAATAGAACTCCCAAATTGCTGAGTGTCATATATGTGAAGTTGTGTCCCCTGAAATCAAAGAATGAATTCCAAGGAGCAATGGAGATTAAGAGTGGGAATAATTTATTGAGAGAGAGAGCTCCTGAGAGACAGCAGAGGACCTAAGGTGGGGTTGCTATGGGGGTTGTTTGTTAGAGTAATTTATACAGCAAAGTCACAAAATGAATACAACATGAGTGAAACTACAGTTGTCCTATAGGCTTACAAGTATAGCTGTTTAGCTATTGCTCCAATAGGGAAATAGGTCATGAGTGCATGGAAAGGGTAGATGGGAAGAACATAGGCATTTTTGCTAATGGATGGGTTCAGACACAATGGACACCCACCCAGGCAACTGATACATAGCTGGACTTCCAGACCAGGTGTTGCTAATTACAGCACAATTTCAAATTACTGCTTATCCCTTAGTGCAACATGCAGGTCTGGCCATTCTGTCTTTATCTTGAGGACTCATCTTTTTCAGATGCACCTTCAGCCACAATTGTGATGTCTTTTTCTGCTGACTTCCTGGAGAGCCCAGACCCTCTCTAATTAACATCTATCTAACTTAGTAGCCTATAGTATTTCTACCTAGCTTAGCTGTCTATAATAAAAGGACCACTACCTTTCTTCTGTAAATTGAACTCTCATTCCGTAAATTCCAAAGTTTCATGGATCACCACCATCAGCACCACAACCACATAAATCTGTGAAAAGTTTTACAGATCACCACCACCACACAACCACAGAAGTGTACTCACCCTGCTAAGGCCCATCACACAACTCTCTCCCTCTTAAGGTCTCACATATCCAAAATATAGGGTCCTATGAATAATACAGTTCACTCATGTCACAACATGTCTAGCTTCTATGTGTTAGTCATTTTTCTATTGCTGAGACAATATCTGGCCTATGTGTCTCAAAGGAAGAAAGATTGATTTTGCCTCATGGTTTTTGAACTTTCAGACCTTAGCTGGCTCGCTCTAGGGCAGAAACATCATGGTGGAAATGCATAGGAGAGGAAAGCTGCTTCTGTCAGAACACCTAGTAGCAGAAAGTAAGAGAGCCAATGAGGAGACCAGGGACCAGACGCAACCCTCAAGGGCATGCTCCCAGGACACACTTTCTCCTACTATGTCCAATCTTTCAGTAGTTTATTAAGCATTAGATGAAATAATTGAAAGGTTAGTGTCCTCGTGATGCAAAAAGCCCCTTCTGCAGACTAAATATTTCCCTTCCCTCTAGGTTGTTTATCCTTTCTTTGCATGACAAACCAAGATGACCCCTGGGAAAAAGAGGAGGAGATAAAATAGACCTGGGAAAGAAAAAGAAGTCCCTAGGCTACCACAGTTGTTTTTCTGACAAGCTGTCATATCAGTGTCCTTTGGTTCAGTGTTTGTATTAATCTATCTGGCACCCACTAATTATAGAATTAATTATATATGCTATATATTTTTATTATTTGCATTTAGGTGCTGACAAAGTGGCTTCATCAACTGGTAAGATTGGCTTTTCCAGGGTGAGCAAGTTCTTAAAGAGAGGAGTTGGTTTCCTGGAATGTGTGATTCATATGAAATTTTACCTATATGCACTTGTAAATAAAAAAATGAAAGCAATAAAATTTAGAATAAACAAATCAGAAATTTTACTGTATGATATCCAGTACTGACTATATCCAATGAGGTATATCATAATTTTATTTTTTCTAAATGAGTAGATTATTACTGTTCTTACCACAGCAAGAAAATATGAGTAACTGTGAAATAAAGAATATGGTAATTTGTTTCATTCTAGTAGTTTATAGTGGATCTATATATAATGTTCTCATCATCATACTTTGAATACATACAGTAATATTAATTTAAATAATGGTGCGCTTCAGGTCTTTGAACATGAAGGATGAACTTGGTTTGCCAGAAAATATCTCAGAGAAGCAGAGAATCTGGTTAACATTTGTGCCTTTCTTCCAGTTCCCCAAGCTGAGTCCTCCACATTTGCTGCCCCCTCAAGACTTCAGAGATTATGCAATTGTAAGAGCCTCCTCTATACATTTCAGTAGTCTCTTTGGAGATAGAAGCTTTCATGAAGCTTAACTGCCTTTGGTAATTAGCACTGGGAGGAAAAATTCTCCAGAAACTACCCTGGTTCCCCAAGCCTTGTCTGTCATTGCCAATACAGGTGAAATGATAATTGCCATTCCAAGGAGAGCAGAGATCACTGATTCGCACACTCTTATACCAAGGTCTTGATTCCTCCTTGCCTGCAATGCTGACTGTTGTGTTACAAGTTGTCCCAAATATTTTTAATGACTTCATTTAGTCACATGTATGTGGGGAGAATGAAAGAAGCATCAGAATATCTAAGGGCACAGCTCGGTGGAATTTTACAAATGGAACACTGCTCTCTATGCATAGAGAAATAGAATTTTATCATTTAATCTGAAGCTTTCTTCTGTCTCATCTAGTATCCCCAGAGTTAGAGTTCTCTGGGACCTGTATGTAGAAATGGAATAAGTTAGATATGGGTTTACATCTATTTTACTATTTAAAGTATTTGATCAATTAACATCAGTGAAAAATGTTCACATTTGCTATTTACAATTGATGAGCTATTTGGGGGAATTTTTCTTTGTTATTTAACATTAATGATGATACAATTTTCCAATGATTATGGGGCTCTATTCATTAAATATCAAGCAATTAATTAAAATATTATGGTGTGAATGGGCATAAGGTTGGTTTTCAGTTGAGTTCTACTGTGAGTAATAAATAGTGCTATCTGTAGACTTACATGTAGTGGGTCTTTTGGTGATCCATGTATGAGTTTCTGTTGAGTAAATTAATAGAAATGAATTATTGCAAACATAAAATTATACCTTATACTTTTGATTTTGGTTGATATTGCTGAACAATTTTCCAAAATATCTGACTCATTTCGATATTGCTATATGTGTATATCATATTGGCTTATCCATGTTCTTACTAAAACTGATTATTTCTTGCCATGTTTATTTTAGCTCTCTGGATGATAAAGATGGCACCAATTAGTGATTTTTATTTCCTGATTAGTAATGTCATTGAATATATTCTGTGTGCTCATAACCCACTACTTATTTTTAAAATTTCATCTAAAATATTATTTCATTTTAATCCTCTTGTGTAATCTACTAGAGTCATTAATGGTGGATATACGTGTTTCCATATCTCTGTTTTGTATCTTTCTCTTTCTCTATCTCACTCTTCTCTCTCTGTCTATATGAATGCAATTATGAATGTGTCTTTTTATGAAAATGCCCATTAATTGTAACACAAGAGAAATTTCATCCATAGAATTACTTATTTTAAAGAATTATTTCTTAGCAGCACAATTTGTAATAGCTAAATTTTGGAAACAGCTAAAAGGCCCATAAACTGCAGAATGGATGAAAAAGATATGGTATTTTTATATAATGGAATATTACTCAGCTATATAAAGGGATGATCTTGAGACTTTTCTAGGCAAACGGAAGCAACTTGAGATTATACTCATAAGTGAAATAAATCAGATTAACATTGGTAAATATCATATTGTCTCCCTAGTGTAAAAAATAAATAATAATAAGCTGAAACAGTAATAAGATCCAAAATGTACAAGAGGTAATGTAATAATGAAAGGGAAAGAAAGTGCTCAAAAGGAAAGAACAACTTGTAGGGAACAGTATGTATGTATATTTAAGAGTGCACGATAGATAAGTTTTTGATAGTTCATCAAAAAGAATAGTTTGTGCTATCATTGTTGCACTGACTGTTCATTTTTATGTTTAGATTTCATAGCTTGAACAGCTACTTCAAAGATATTACACAATATGTTAACTAGTGTTGATTTCTTACTGTTAATTCTTGAAATTCTGTATTATTTCTACCTTTTTTCTGTTTTGCTTTTTAAAAATAGAAAAGAACTATTTCTTAGATGAAATAAGTAATTTTTGTAAAACACTTATATTTATCTTAAATATTTATAATTGAAATCCATTCAAAATTGACCTGCTATATGATGTTTAGAAGGAGTATGGATTTTTGTTCTTTCACTGTAATTAAGAAAAAATTCAGGATTGACTGAAAATTTTGGATTTTGCTTTCTTTCTGTATGCTGTCATTTCTCCTCCAGCTTAACACAGCCTTTTCCTTAATGATGGCTTTCTCCAGAATATGCTGAATATTGTCTTTGCCTACTTTTCTTTCTTGAGACTTGGCAATCCCACAAGAGCATACCACTAAAATTGTTCTGGTATCAAATCTCTACAGTAAGCCAAGTTGTTACTCAAAGAAGTGGATATTATAACAATTTAAATGAAATTTTAAAAGGAAATTACAAAATAACTTTGAAGCATTTGGCAATAGGCATTATCTTGTTTCAGATTATCATTGGTGTCCCGGACAATGTCTTCCTTCTTTACCATTATATTTTTCTTTTCCACAAAGAGAAGCAGAGTAAAGTCCACAAATGTGATTCTGAGGCACGTTGATAACCAACTTCTTAGTTCTTCCTAGAGAAGTTCCTCATACAATGGTAGCCTTTGGGCTGAAACAGTGCTTCAGTGTTTTGGCTTCAAATTTGTCTCATATGCTGACAGAATGGCAGGGATGTGTCAGTTGGTACCAACTGCACATTGAGCATCTTCTTCCAGAATATCACAGCCAGCCCCTTGGACTCTTGTTGGAAAGACTTTAAAGTAACAGCTAAAAAGAATGAGGACTTCTCTATTCACTTTTACTGGATCTTAAACAGTGGCCAATTTAATTATTCCTCTGTTCACATCATATTTTTCTGGAGAAGGTTTTCAGCAGAAACACTAGAAAGAAAATAAATGTGGGGTTCTGTTGTCTTGTTGACTATGGGATCATCATTAACTTTGTCTATATAGCATTAGTAATTTTTCTTTTTTATTAAATTTTATTTAAAGAAAGACTAAACAAAACAAAAAATAGGTAGAAATAATACATACGTTCAGAGAAAAAAATAAACAGTAAGAAATCACTAGTTGATGTTTACATATTGTCATTTTACAAAGAGTTGTTCAAGATACAAGAATGGAACATGTAAAGTGGGCATTCAAACAGTGAGACTGCAAACAGTTCTGTTCAACTGTCCAACAAAAACTTAGTAACATGGTTGTCAATCCTATACACTTAAACATACATGCAGTTATCCATATCTTCATTTATATTTAGCTTAAACAAACTAAAGCAGGTTAAAATCATTATGAAGAAAGAATAATGGTATTGCTGGATTTCACATCATGACACTCTATGATCAGCACTGGGTATTGTAGTATTTTTTTAAAATTTAATTTAAAGTAAGACTAAACAAAACAGAAAATGGGTAGAAATAATACATAATTTCAAATAAAAAAATAACAGTAAGAAATCACTAGTTGATGATTACAGATTGTCTTCTTACAGATAGTTTTTCAAGATACTAAAGTGGAGCATATAAAGTGAGGATTCAAACAGTGAGGTTGCAACCAGTTCTGTTCAACTATCCAACAAAAACTTAAAAATATGGTTATCCATCCTATACACTTAAACATACATGCAGTTATCCATATCTTCAATAATGTTGAGATTGAATAAACCCAAGCAGGCTAATATCACCCTGGACAAAGAATAATACTATTGCTGGGTTTCACATTATGACACTCCAGGATCAGCAATGGATATTTTAGTGTCTCTTTTTCTTCAAAGTATCTGTTCATTTCATCATGTGTTATATGATCAGCTCTCGAACTGTTTATAGATTCTTCACATGCATGAGTATTAACATGTATTTCTATCCCTTCTATATTACAGGGAGAAACAAAACAAAGCATGACAAAACAAAACATATTCCTATAAACACATGAAATGAAATAAACATACAAGACCGTTGTACCAATTGTTCTACCATAGTTTCTATGTTGTCTCTTGTTGTCTCCAATAGAATTGGCTATATCATCAGACATAGTATAATTGAATATATCAGTACATAACATTAATAAAAACACAACTTTGTATATAGTATAGAACTTCAAAAACCAGCAGTTATCCATCCAGAATGTGTATCGTTGAGTCCTGTCATCTTCAGTGTAGTTGCCTATACTCTCAGAATTGATACTATCAATCATATCAATTTTGAATAAAATATTCTCTGACTCATTTCTGTTATGCTCTTTTTTTGCCATCAGTTGTCTGCTTATCTTCTTCATTCTGTTTTCTGCTCTACTCATTGAGGCCTCTCTGCCATTGTTCCTAGAATCCTAGTACTTTTCTCTCTCTCTAGAATGCCCTGGAGTATTCTCTGTAGAGTTGGATTGGTGGTTGCAAATTTCCCAAGTTCCTCTTTGTCTTGGAAGCATCTTATTTCTCCATTAATTTCTAGAGACAGTTTAGCAGGGTATATCAATCTGGGATGGAAATTATTTTCTTTCATGGCTTGGAATATTTCACTTCAGGCTCTTCTTGACTTAATGGTTTGTGTTGAGAAGCCTGCCGTTATTCTGATGGGCCTTCCTCTGTAGGTTATCTGTTTCTTGTCTCTAACAGCTTTTAATATTCTGTTCTTATATTGAATTTCTGGGATCTTCATTATTATATGCCTGGGTGTAGCTCTGTTTTGGTTGTAGGTGGCTAGAGATCTGTATTCCTCATATATCAGAATATCATTTCCTTTTCCTATGTTTGGGAAGTTTTCCTTAGCTATTTCTGTGAATAGCCTTTGTAGTTCTTTTGTTTGTACCCCTGCTTCTTCATTCACATTCTTTATTCTAAAGTTGTAGATCCTCTTGTCATCTTCTAGCCTTTGTATTGTTACTGCTTGTTTCCTTGTTATTTTTAAAAAGTTTTCCCTTTTATACTCCCATGTTGCAAAATTGTCCTCCTGTTTGGATAACCTATCCTTAGTTTCTTTCAACCTGATTTGTCATCTTTCCATAGAGTTTTTAATTTCCTGGTGATCTCTTTGAATTTGCTTCATGTATTCTGTATTTTTATACCTGCTTCACCAAATAGTTCTCTCCTGTTGTTTGCATTTCTCCCTTCTTCTGTCTGTGTCTGCTTGGGGGTGCTTAGTATCTCTCTTATTAATATTCTTATATCTTGCTTCATTTGGCTAAATATTTCACTTTTGAACTCGTCTATGAGGTCCCCAGTATATCTCTTTATGTCCACTGGTGCTGTGTCTGATATTGCATGTTTGCTGTTCTCATTCTGCTTTGTATTTACCAGTCCTGGGTCAATGTTCTCAGGGTTGTGACCTGGGGTCTTTTTGTTATTCCTTCCTCTTCCCATCTTTTTTGCTTCTTCCAGGAGGCCCCAGTTTCTATCTTCATTTGTTACAATTCTTCTGAAGCGTGCTGGCTAGATCACCCTTCACACTGCAGTGTGCTAGTGAGTTGCAGACAGAGACAGCACATGCATGCCCCTCCCCTCCAGATCAGTCAAGCTGCTGTGGCCTGCACTACTGTTTCTTTATGCTGCCTCCCCTCCAGACCAGACAAACCTCTGGGACCCCATTGGGCCAGTGTGGTTTAGAATGGGACACCGCTGCAGGGACTTGACCTCGGATAACCTATTGGGTCTTAGCCAGGGCACGTAACTCAGGCCTAGTTCACTCCACCAATCCCATTGGTGGAGTTGACTGAAGTCACTGTTGCCCCTTATACTTGCCAGTCCTGCCTGGTTCCAGAATGTCATCCTCTGGAGCCCCCCTATTTATGGAATGGCTCCACTCCAGTCACCCACCACAGCTCTCTGCCCACTCAGCTCTCCGCTCGGCTCACTGACCCCCTAAACTCAATGTAACTGCACCTCCAGTGGGTCAAAATGGCGGGACCTTGGACAGCTTGGCAAGTCACAGCGGGACCGTGGCAAGTTGGGGTGCGACCCTAGGAAGTCATGGCACGACCCCAGCAAGTCATGGCATCAGCCAGTTGTGGCAGGACCTCTGATGGTGGGCAAGTCACCTTAATTTCTTCTTGGGATGAGAGAATTCATCTCCCTCTGTTTGGGGCTCCCCACTCTGTATTATGTTGAATTCTAAGTTGACTATCTCAGGGAGCTTCTCTAGCATTAGCAATTTTTCCTGAAGTTAATTTTTCTGTGATCATGATCTGGACCAGTGGCAGTATGACTTTCATCCTGTATACAAATAAGCAGGAGGTACAACACAAACGTATCACTAATGCTTACCTCAGATCCCCGAGTCCAGAGTTACCCAACACATTCTTGTGTTGGTGAGCACCGTCATATCTTTTTACACTCTCTCCACTATCTTTTAGACTTCTGTGGTATTGTGGTCAGGGGTTGTGTGGAGAACAAGCAGAATCAGGACATGGAGTTTATAATATTATTTTATAATTGTCACTGGGAGTTAACACAAGAAAATGCAGGAAACCTATCTGCAACCCCTACGACATAGAATATTTAGTCAAGATCCTACATCCCACAGCAATGTCCCACATGAGTCCAAATAAAAACCCAGAGCACAGGACAATGCCTTCCTTGAGTCCAACTGGAGGTCCAGAGCCCACAAGAAGGACTCATGCCAGTCTCTTTTACGGATCTGGGCCGGGAAGGCCCAAAGGTCAGCAGTGAAAACCAGAAAGTCCATGCCAGCAGGGTGAAGGAACTGTGCTCATGGGTTGAGGGTTCTATGCTGGAGCTGAGAAGTCATACTCACATCAAAGACCAGGGCTGTCCTGAAGGTGCCACAGCCATCCTCAGAGACACAGAGGTCTCAAGCTCCTCTGACAACAAGCACAGTTGGGTACATGCCAGGAAGCCAGCAGGACAAGTTCATCTTGGAGAACAAGCAGCACACATCTTCCCCTCAAGAGCCAGGAAGCAATGCTTGATGTGAAGACCAAAACTCCAGGAAAACCAATAGCTTAAACAGCAATTCATAGGAGAACCCACAATGCAACAATGCCTCAACACCTCAGTGTCCTCCTTCTCATTTTCCACCTATTTATGCTAGCAACTTTTCTCAGGTGGAGCATCTTCACTCAAGTGTCATGCTGATGTAATCCAGCTGGCATTAAGTTGACCACCAGTTCTTAATCCATAACATATGGCTGTCGTATATATTCTCAGTTCATGGTTGGAAAGCACTGGTGTAATTTCTGTGTGGTTTCAGACTATCAGTCCCTTTCTGATCATAAGCCAGAATTATTCTATATTAGGCACTACTTTACCTTGATAAAAAAAAGTACACAACCTCACTAATCTTTTCAGAAATATATGTATTGTATGTTTGGCAGTGCTTTCTTTTGTTTACTCCTTATTTTTTTTTAAATATCATCTAAAAGTACAAAGAGAAGCCACATAGTTCTCATTGGTCAATTAATGCGATTTCAACTCACTGAAATTAGTATTCATATGGGAACGATGGACATGGGAAATCAGGTTGACCAAATTCAGGTGTACACTGTTCTGTTCTTCATGACCGAATCAAACATTGCTTGAGGCAATTTAAATGGACATAATTCACTTTCTCAATTAATTAAAATATTTTCCTAAATCTCTTGCTTCTGGAAACAAGTGGCAAAAGAATACAACACTAAGAAATTCATACAAGACATTGTTCAAGGAGAATTATGTGTGGGTTTACTGTGTCTTACACCAGTTACCTAGGCTGGGTTTGCAAATTATCATTTGTTCATAGTTTCTTTCATGAATGAAACAAAGAATGGTAGAGGCAGTGTCAAGATATCAGGCAGAAATTAGATCTCCTTAATGTATACAGAAATGAAAATACATCAAAGGAACACTGATATGCGAGATGAGAAGATTGTTGGAATTCCACCGGGCTGGGTCTTCAGATACAGACAACACACCACGGCACAGGGTCTTCTGCTCCACCTGTGTCTGATGCAGTGGTCCTTTCCCTCCTCTTAGAAGGCAGGAGAGGGCCTCAGCTACTTAAGCTGAATTAAAGGACTCCTAGGAGTAAAGACGAAAGCCTTTAAAATAAAGTGAAGCCTTGGATCCTGAGTGGGCTGCAGGAAATGTGCCATGTACTCTTGCACTGTGAATGTTGTTTCCTAATGTTCTATGTGACTCACTTCTCTTATAACACTTTGTTCATAACTCAACGTGAAATCCAGGTTCTAATCTGTCTCCTTTCACTGATAATGCCAAAGATACCATGTCCTCCATTTTGTCTCCATCTCAGGCTCCATGTCTCGCTTGCTTGCTTTCACTCACAGTTTTTATCTCTTTTGGGCCACTGCCTAAATGCAGAACATCCCACACACATACACTCAAATCTCCTCACAACCATTTCATTAATGCCTTGTACACATACATTTTCCATGAATTTCACCCACCATGGGCATTAGCACATTTCTTACTCAATCTGTACTCCCATGAGCCACTTCTTTCCCATGAATTCATGATTAATTTTCTGCAGGCCAATTAGGTACTATGACTTAGCCACTCTCTTCATCATAGGGACAAAATATCTAACATCAGTGACATTAAAAAAAGAGGGAGATCTATTAGGCCCATAGTTTTTGAAGTTTCAGTTCATGTGGGTGGTATACAAACCAACAGTGTCATGAAAAAATGGTCCAGTACTCGTCAAGCAGAGAGAAATGAGAGGGGCTTTTGAGAGAGAGACATACCCTTCCAGGTCACTGCTCCAGTGAGCAGTCTGTAATCAGTATCTGCCTCATAACAGCAAGTCAGCTAGGAACTTATCAGTGGACTATTTCACTCATTACTATTGTGCCCCATGAGTCAGTTACTTTGTAGCTTTGGAGAGGAGGCATTCCAGATCTAAATCATAACAGCTTAAATCTTTACTATTCCTTAAAATCTTTCTTTTGTATGCTGAAATGTGGATATATGCTTTAACTCCTATGGATGTTTACAATCTTTGTCTTTTTTGCCTCTAAC